TATTTGATGGGTTAAATAAGAATTAACTTAATCAATTCAAGCCAACGGGATCTAGTCTAGTAAAACAGAATCGGAAACTCCTTTATAATTTAGACTATGACTTGTATTATATATATATATATATAATATTTAACTTAATCAAACTATTGGGCTCAGTTTAAGACCAATTACAATAAGTCCCAACTTTTTAGTGAGCATCTACATGAAGGCCATAGAAGCCAAGTGGGACTTGGACTTTGCCCAACCAGAAAAGTCTACGACAATGGTCCACAACCACAATCCACATCCACAATTAAGAGGAGAAGACCATCAGCCCCAATTGTTTGGCGCCCTCAGCTCCACGCCAATTTCGCCACGAATCACAACAGCATCCCAACACATACGCAATAACGCAGCTCGCGTCCTCCCCACGAAAAATTGAATATTCGGAAACTTTGAATATTGGAATAATAAACTCGTCGAAAACATAGAAAGACAGAGACGAATGGTGGCCTCAAGGCACGGCCTGCCTTTATGGATGAGCACAGCAGCTAGCAGAGTTGATTTTGAAGGAAACGTAGATACCATGTTCAAGGATGGCAAAGAACAGCGAAAGCAGCACCATGCCATGCGTGTATCTGATGCCAATTTGGGTTTTGGAGAGAGGGCTCTCTCTGCTGCTGGCGCCGCTTTTGTCTCTGCGATTCTCGTTAACCCTCTTGATGTTGCCAAGGTTCGCAATTTCAATTCCCTATTGGGTTCTTATATTATAATCCGTTCTGGGGACTTTTGGGAAGATACCCATTTTTGGCTTTTCGTTTCTTCATCTTGTGGACGTTTTGTGTAGTAAAATTCCCATATGCTGTGATTGAGATTCTATTGTCTTCTTAACAAACCCATTGAGAAGATCATATATGGTTATTGTGAATTAATATAACGTTATTAATTTAAAAGTTGCCCTTTTGAAACTGATTCGTCTGTGCTTGATGAGATTAGTCATTTGTGAAGCTTGCATGCTTATAAAGTTCTCTACTTTAAGGTTTTCGTTATCAAAATTAATTGACTTTATGCGCCATTTGTTGCATTACCTTCAGACAAGGTTACAAGCGCAGGCTGCTGGAGTTCCTTATCTGGGGCTATGTGGTGTGGCATGTTTTGAAACAAACACAGTATGTATGCAGTTTTTATTATTATTGAATTTATCTTATTTACTCTGCAACGAAGCATCTTTAGTAATGGCTTTGGGATTGTCTGTAGATGCTTCCAGATTTGAGATCTTCCACACCACGCACAAGTTCAGTACTTGGATCCAAGATCGTCTGCCCACCAGACTGTAACCAGTATAAAGGAACACTGGATGTGTTGCTCAAAGTCATACGTCAGGTTGGTTGATGCAAAAACTTAAATATATAGTAGATTCTTCTCCCGAAAAGGAGTTACTTACGTTTCATTATGTGATAGATGACTTCTTCCTTGTGTAAAATTTCAAGTATCTATCCTTAAACAGCAACTTTTGCAATCCAGCAGATGTCATATTGTTTGGCAAAGCTTTGAACCTTACTGTCTGTTGTCATAGAGGCATGGGTTTTATACTAACCTTGTATTCTAAAAAGAACAGAAAAATCTACTCACTTTCTCTTTGATTTATAGTAGAAAAACCTGAAAGTGCCATGTGAACTCTTAGATAGAGTAACTAGGTTTTCTGTTTTTTTTTTTTCTCTACGGTGGGACGAAGGAACGAGAGAAGTACCTAAAACATGCTGGATGGTAGATATTATTTCAAAGTGATTATTAAGCGAGTATTGCATCATATCATTTGACTGTATGTCAGTGCCACAAGGAAATTTGCGATGCCTTACATTACATGCATGGCATTTTCTTTTCATGTTTTAAGACACTTTTCAATGCCTTGTCCACATGCTTACTGTATCCCCATTAAGGGACTATTTGCTTATTTAGGTCATCACCTATGAGTTTGTAGGCAAATATTTTAATAATATTAGAGGTTCACAGGAATAAATTGGTGCAGGAAGGATTTTGGAGACTCTGGAGGGGCACTACTGCAAGCTTAACATTGGCCATACCAACTGTAAGTCTCTCTCTTACCAAGGATTACCTCTTTCATCTAAATGGTTCCTTGCAGTGTTAGATCCCATGCTGTGGATGATGCAAGGTGGTATGCACTTTGTTCTGGAATTTGTGTTGCTGGTAGTTATTGTTTTCTATTTGTCAATCAGGTGGGGATCTACATGCCTTGCTATGACATTTTCCGCAATTTGATGGAAGATTTCACGACTCAGAATGCTCCAAATATGACACCATATGTCCCATTAGTTGCAGGGTCACTAGCACGATCATTAGCTTGCATCTCTTGTTACCCTGTTGAACTCGCAAGGACGCGCATGCAGGTATTTAATGATGTAGATTGATGTCATTTATCACCATTTTACACTGTTCCTGACTTGTGAACTGGTATTCATCTCATATCCATAGCTTTTATGCTATCCCTGTCAAGACCTCTTGACCAATCCCATGAGTGTGATTTCAGTAACTATACAACCAATTATCTTAGTTAATGACCCGAATACAATAAAAAATTAGGATTTATTATTGAGGATACAATTAACACCAGACAAGACAATTAATATTTACTACCTTGATGTTTTTTTTATCTAGGCTTACTTATTAGTTATTATTTTTAACTTTATATCTTGTCTAAAGTATCTCGTACATTGCAAATCATAGATGAAGCGTCCTTCAGGTATCTGCTTATCTTTAAGGTTACATAGTTGGAGAGAACTATTTTTATGCACAGGGTACCCTTTTTCCCCCCAAAATTGAAGTTTCTCATAGTGTGCTCTCTTCTTTAACCGCAGGCATTTAAGGAAGCCCGAGCTGGTGTGAAGCCTCCAGGAGTTTGGGGGACACTGAATGGGGTCATCAACCCTGTCAAGAGCAATAACCTCCTTCAAAACTGTAAGTGAACTCCTAATTATACTTTTGAGTTAGTTCTTTACTTCCCCATATCTCTTAAGTAATTGATTTGCAGCTGATCAAGATGATGTGATGATCATGTAATACCTATAAATGACACCAGTTGATGCATACCTATCTTGTATTGGAACAGTTCTAAGGTTGCCTTTTAGTTAAGATAAGATTGTTGATGACATTATTATTTTTCTTTTGTAACAGTACAAAACTCTCGCATCTTGTGGACTGGCCTCGGGGCGCAACTTGCTCGTGATGTTCCTTTTTCTGCAATATGTTGGTCAACCCTTGAGCCAGTGAGTTGCACTATTTCAAGAAATTCAAAATCTACCTTCTAGTTTCCTCTTATACCTTGCACTGGCAGGTGTAGACAACTTGATTTAATTATTTGCCCCTTCTGTGCAGATCAGGCGAAGAATTCTTGGTCTTGTGGGTGATGAAGCCAATGCAGCCAGTGTTCTTGGAGCTAATTTCTCTGCTGGGTTTGTTGCAGGAACCCTTGCAGCTGCTGCTACATGTCCATTAGATGTGGCAAAAACTCGACGACAGATAGAGGTATCTCTCTATAATAAGCTTCACCCTGACTTTCTTTTCTCTTCTTTTGTATTGTACCTAAAGAAACAGAGAAGCAATCCTATAGACTAGACGCTACAGAATTTATTCACGAGAGTCGAGAGCACCCAAAATAGAAAAGAAAAATAATAATTCTTATGCTTGTTTTTTAACAGTTTTCTTTTTGCAGAAGGATCCTGCAAGGGCATTGAAGATGACAACAAGAACAACTTTGCTTGAAATTTGGAGGTATGTGAAACATCAAGTGCAATATAAACAATGAATCGCATTGATGTTAATTCTGTAATAATATGTTCAAATATTCTATGTTTTTAACCAACCATGGAACTTTTTGTTTCGAATAGGGATGGAGGGATAAAGGGGCTGTTTATGGGAGTTGCTCCTCGTGTTGGTAGGGCCGGTCCTTCTGTTGGGATAGTCGTCTCCTCTTATGAAGTTGTCAAGTATTTTTTATATTATAGACATCTGATTCAATGATTAAAAGTGACACATTCGTTGATCGTGGTTTTGGGATTCTGGTTTACTTGTACAAAGCTTACAAGGTTTTCAATCAGACACCTACCTTGAGAGGGTCACTAATTATGAGATTTCCTTTGTGGGAATCACAATGTTCCTGTCATGGTGGTGGAGAGGCTGCAAAAGCAACAGAACACAGCAATTTTGGAGAATAAAAGATCGTCATCATGGAGCCTGGGATTGCCAGGATTTCAGTCATTGATTGCAGCACAGTAGTGCAAATATTTTCTTTGCTGCAATACAAGATAAATTGTTGATATCCAAGTTCTTTTTAAACTTTCTTAAGCTTTGGGTTGAAATCACCAGCTGTATTTTCAAATTGTTGATATCATTCAAACTCATAGAAAAAAGTGATCTATAATTGAAGTTCGAATATATTGCAAACAGTGACTTTATTTATTCAGTGATTTTAAGTACGCTAATAGCAATCTAATTTTTTGGAAAATCAATGGAGTAATGGAGTCCTCATTCATTATGGATAGGAGTTGCTCTGGGAACTCTCATGGGAGTTGAAGAAGGATGCATTGGGGTCTCAATGCCACAGCAGAATGGCGTCGCAACCGCTGCCAAGTTATCAGAACCGAAAGCACAACTCCGGTGATCAACAGTAACAATCTTCGTTGCTCGAACGCATTGAACTTGAACTGTATAATCGGATTTACAACCACACCCAATTTTTTAATTTTATTCAATAATTTTTCTTCTTTTTTCAACCCCATTTTTTTAAGGGGAAAAAAAAACTTATCCTAAATTTACAGAAAAGAAAAATGGTTTAACTCATCAATTGTTTGAGTTCAAATAGTCTCGTACTGCAAAAAGTTCCATGTACAATGATGATGAAGAAATGAAATATGCATGCATATCTTCAAATTAAAGTTGAACATGTCAATATACACAAGCAAAGAATGAAACAGAAATGAAGAAAGGAACAATAATTTGATAACAATCTACTAGAAGCTTAATCAGCCTCAAACATTGTTATTCATTAATTTGTCTAATTCATATATGCACAATCAAAGTCAAATAAATCATAATGGAAAGAAAAAAAAAAACCAACACCAAATTTTTTTTTGGTCATTTGTCTACACAAATCAAATCCCATCCATTTCTAATTCACCTAAAAAAGAATCCCAACACTCAAAAGAAAGTGTAGGAAGATGATGCGTCCAGAGGATGAATGAGGTATGTAAGCACCAAAGCCACTAGCATCAGCACATATGCAATCCCTTGGTCTATGGAAGTCCCTGCAAAATTGTCCAAAAATAAAAAATATAAACAATGAGATTAATAAGAGAAAGAAAAAAAAAACCCAATGCTCAATCCAGAAAGGAAAACAAAAACCAAATGCCAATAAAATAAAATAAAATATCCAAAAACAAGAATGAACAAAATGCCTTCAGATCTGATTATAAACAAAGAAATGAAATGGAAAATGTGACATTAAGAAAATAGAATTTACCATCACTGGAAGGGCCAGGGGCATGAGCAGGGGTGGAGGCAGGGGAAGGAGCAGAAGCTGAGGGCTTTGTAGTAGCAGCAGCAGATGGAGATAGAATGGCAAAGAAGACAATGGCAGAGACTAACAAAACTCTGAAAATGGCTTTTGAATAACCAAAGCAAAGTGCCATTTTCTTTTTTCAGAATGAGGAAAAAAAACACAGAGAAAATTGAGCAGAACTCAATTGAGAGAGAGAGAGAGAGAGAGAGAGAGAAGCAGAGAATGTGAGGAGGGGGGAGAGAGAGTTTGGTTTATATATAAAGAGGTTTTGGTGGTGACTGGTGACTGGTGACTGGTGAGGAGAGGCCAGCAAGAGAAGAATAAGGCAGGCCTCCCTGTATGGGAATTGCTTTATTATTTTTATTATTATTGTGGTTTTGTTTATTTTATTTAGTGTCAGTTTGGTGACGTGGCCCATGTGGGATTTTTTGTTTTGTAATTCTTTTTAGGTGGACAGTCTGTCAGCTAGGTTGTCGCTGAGTCATGCCTTGTTATGTTTTTTGGTGGAGATTATTCAAAGCGGTCTCGGATTCTACAATTTGGGCGGGGCCTACAACGGAATTAACGGCTAATTAACGGCTACTATATTGTGTGTGTGTTTTGGTGAAATCTGAGTTTGAACTCCAATTCAAATTGGAATTTGGAACACTGCAATGCAAATGCAAATGCGAGCATTGGGGGAGTTACCACTTATCCAATTTATTAAACAGATTTGAATTTAATCTGAGGATCAGTTATTGACAGATTTGAATTTTCTTTCAGAAAACGATAATTTAAATTACTCTAATTTATTAAGAGAAGCTGAACTCGGATAAAAAGGGACGAACCATATGAACACATAACACTGCTCAACCAATTTAACCCATAACTATATTTGAATATTTGATATTTTATCATCGCTACACAATCTCAATGCAATCTTTTGGCAAGAATGAATTAAAATGTATCTAAGTTTGTCTATTAAAATGTGATTTGAGATTCTCTCAAAAAACAGAATGTCAATTGAGAATAAACAAAATGGTATGAAATTTGGCTTTTCATTAGTGGGATACAAAATTGTAATGCCTTGCCTTGAGACTCTGGCAATGACAAGATGTATTATTCTTGAAATGGTCATTGCACAACAAAGAATATACCCGCGGCGGGTACATTGTCTCATGGGACAGTTGATCCATCTGGTATTAAGTAATATTTATATAGACATGATATTAATTGGACATATGCAATTATTATGTGAGTGGTTTTGTATAGAAAAATAGTGTAAAATTAATAATTATTTTATCTATTATCATCAAAAATTTCTTTTTAAGCTGGTGATTGGTAATTATTCTTTCCTACCTGGAGTTTTGTTTTATCTGAGAAGATTTAATGAGGCCGCCGTTAACATGTTAATTCTTACAATGTAATGTTCCTTTCAGTTTAATGAAATACAATATTTTCTTGAAAAAAAGAAGAGGCTAGTGATTGGTGTTTTTATCAACAATGAGTAATGGTACAGCTTTGTTTTGTATTTGATATTGAGGAATTATTTTCCTCTTTACCTATACAGTTTCGTTTTATTATTTTTAGTTTTATAGCTGTATTAATTTTTTTTTTCTTCAGATTAATTAATTATAACAACACTTAAAATATGAATTCTATTTATATTTTTATAATTATATTTATTCACATTTTACGTTTATTGGCCTCTTCCCAAATGCATCAACCCATGGGCCACGTTTGTGGGTCGCCCCAATTGGAAAAATTAGTCCTGCGACCGCGATGGGCTGTTTTTAAGAAGCCCGGCACACCATATTGATCCACTTCATCGACTTCAAATTCCATTTCCTTTTCAAAACAGTAATTTTCTCAGCTGCCAAACACACAAAGAAAGAAAAAATAGAAAATGCGCGAAAAGGCTTTTTACGCGGTAGTGACTGTGTATGATTAGTTGAGCCCACCTATTTTGGGCTTAAAATTGTTAGTTGAACTTGGGCTTTCTTTATTGAAAGATTTGATGTAATTCGCATGAATCGAGTAATTCGACTTATTTGATGCGAGCTGCTTACATCGATCGATTCAATCCAGCTGATCAATCCAATCAAATATATTTATGACCGATTTTTTATAATTTTGAAGGACTAAATTGAATATCTAAATTTCAAAACCGACATGACAGTATCAAATGATGTTAAATTTACACACATAGATAATCGGATCGTGCTAACCAGGCACGTACCTACTAACATGTTAATCTGGGCTAAAGCCCAGGCAGCTTGTTTTCTTATAGACTAAATTAATATTTTAGCCTAGGTCATCTAAATAAAATATTATTAATTAATCCCATTAGGACTAGGCTAACCACCTAAATAAAATATTATTAACTAATCCTATTAGGACTAGGCAGACCAACAAATAAATAAAAAGAACAAAATTAGCAGAAACATACTACTTATTTGATAGATTGATTCGTTTGGTGCTAACTCTTCCTGTGTCTACAACAATAGAATGAGAATTTTCATGTATGAGACTTATTAAAAATCGACTTTGGAATAAGATAGGTGATGAGTTTCTTGCTAATTGTATCCTACTTCATATTGAAAGAGAATTTGTTGATAATATAGATAATGAATCAATAATTAGTGATTTTAATGCTGTGAAGACTTGAATGACGCAACTTATATAAGTGTTATTTGAGGTGTAAGACTCATTATGTCTTTCGTGCATTTTTTTTGTTATCAATGAAATTTACTCGTACCGTTGAGTTTTCAATAGGTTTGTATGTAAGGTAAATTTAGTCCACGTCATTTTGAAATTCTGAGTCCGTCCTTGGTGCTAATTATGTATGATTGTATCTCTAAAGTATATAGGTTAGTGCATATTTTAATTCGTACATTCATACATCGACATGTACGAGGTTTATGTGCATAATTGTTTAACCACTACTAATAAGAAAGCATTTGATGATGCTAACAATGGTTACAAGGTAAGGCAACCCTTCTCTTCCAAATCACAGCCCTTCCATTGCATATCACTTAATACAGGGAAAGTCTACTTCTTGATTCCAATTAAATATATGAAAGTCACAGTATTATGATTTTGTAGTTAGGAAAGAGTTTACATATTTGTTGAACAATTTAAGTCACGTTTCTAGTTTCACCACCTGTGAGAAACCAATTTTCTGAATTGCTGCTGAAGAATGCTGAGAGAGAGAGAGAGAGAGAGTTTGATTATTTAAACTGCTGCAGAAGAATGCTTAGGCTGATAACAACTGGTGACAAAAGAAGAGAGAACTCCTAGGACAAATTAGAAACAGAACAACAAAAGGAAAACAGAGAGAAAATGTACTGCCAAAACTTGAAGCCCATCATTGAAAATAGAAGAAGAAGATCCATATTAAACATGATATATATAATCTACACATGAAGCTCACAAACATTACACAAACAGATTACATAACTAAACAAAGCAGTAAGTAAGACTAGATTAATTATAACAAAACTAATCACACCTAAAAACACATCATAATTAGCATTATTCAGTACTTCCTCATACTGTTGTTACAAGGGACACAAGTCTAGTTAGGCCACAGGAAGGCTCCTATTGCAAACTTCCTCTTCTGTTCAACGTCCCCAGCAATCGGTAGCCCATACTCTTTAAGCAAACAGTCGAGCTTCCACTCCGGCATGGTCTCGTAGTCGGATTGAGTGTACCTTGGATAGTGCAGGGGCATCTGAAAGTCGCCACAGCGCTCTCTCTTCTGCTGTCCATTGGCTGCACCACTGCCGTTTGATCGCAGCCTGGCCACGGATTCCATGCCTCCTCCACTCATATTCTCAGTTTGCTTTGTGTGTTTCTTGTGTTCTTGGTTAGTTATGTAGTGGTATTTATAGAGATTGTGAAAGCCAGAGGAAGGACTAATAATAATGTTGTGATGTGCAAGGCATTGTCGAGGCTGTAAATATATGATACAATATAGCTGAGAAAACAAAGCTGGGATACAAATTGGACAGTTAAAACCAATTTTGATTAGGAATAGTGAGAGAGGTGTCACCACTCACAGGATATTGGTAAT